CCTCCCTGCTGTTTACCCCCGAACCCACTTCCGGGTATACCTCCCTGCTGTTTAACCCCGAACCCACTTCCGGGTATACCTCCCTGCTGTTTAACCCCGAACCCACTCCCGGGTATATCTCCCTGCTATTTAACCCTGAACCCACTTCTGGGTATACCTCCCTGCTATTTTCACTTGATGATGCATGTGGGGATGTACGGATCTGTACTGAAATATTCCAGAAAGCGGGTTCGAAACCTTAAACCTTTTTTAAGCTTAACTCCAACACCGCAGTGAAGTTAGCCTTATATGCAGTTTTCCAGCTGTAATAACTTTCACTGTTTGTAATGTTTTTCACTGTGTGTTAGTTTAATGCTTAAAGCTTGCCTTTAAGTATTAAATGATATATGTGTATATCATTTAGGTTTATACTTATTAATCCATAAATATTTTCTATATATTGCACTTAAATGGACACAGAAGAGTCTGCAACGCAACAATTTGACAATACCCGCCCAATCTGTCAACACTGCTCTGGATCAATCCACGCTTTAATCATGTGATAATGTAGCAGAAATAGCAGTCGCAGGTTAAGAGTGCACATAATTTAATTAAATTAAAAGCTGCCACTTTTTTTTGGCTTTTTCAGTTTTTATTTAATTTTTCCTTGGATTGTGGGAGGCTGTTGCCATTGGCAACTGGAATGAAAAAACTAGCTTCATTGGCGACTATTTTAGTTGCCATCTGGAGCTGTGGGGAAACATTAATGAAGTTGATTAATAATTTCATGAATAACAACTGATTAGGGTTAGGGTTAACCCTGTGTCTGATTAGGGTTAGGGTTAGGTTTAGGGCAGCTGTAGGCATCTCATCCTCAGGGCCAGTATATATGCAGGTTTTTGGGATAACCTTAAGGGCAGCTGTTCAAACCCAGGTGTGAGGACTCCTCAGCCAGTCAGTCGAAAACCCGCACACAATGGCCCTTTCAGGGTGAGATTGCCCACCCCTGGTTTAGGGTTAAGATTAGGGTTTTGGGTTAGGGGTTGGGTTTAGGATTATTGTTGCTTTTAGGGTTCAAAAAGTCTGCTTTTAGCTAAAGAATTTACTTTAACTAGTTAACTCGTCTGTTCCCAGATCCGTAAGGATTGCTCTGAGGCTGCAGTCAGGTCGTTTCCCGATGGACTTATGAAGTTCATCTCCCCCAGTGGCTTTGTCATACCTGGGTCTCCAAGGGATGGGATTCTGGACTCAGTCACCGTGGAGATGATCAGTAAGACTCTGATGAATTCGGTCAGTAAGGAGGGTGCCTTTGTCACTATGGAGATCGCATCACGGCGGCTTCTGTCCTTCGCAGCATGCTTCAGGGAGCTGTGTGGTCTCTGCTGGATGCTCCATGTTCGGGACCAGCTGTCGGTTTCCTGCAGGAAGTACCAGGCTGCAAGGAATCATGGGATGGGCACACAGGTGTGCTGCGATCAGGAAGAGGTCTGAGAGACATCAGCTGTGAGTGTGCCCCTCGCAGGCGGGCTCATGCCGTCTTTCTCTCACAGCTGGAGGCATGTTGCGTGGACGCCCTGCGCTGGGGCTGCCGTCTCCTCCCCTTCGCTCGGTTCCTGAATGCCGAAGAGGTCCTGCAGGATGTGCTGCTCAGCCTGGCATCTGCACTGCCACCTGTTCCCATGGTAACTGCCTCCTCTGGGACAGCTCTGTCTGCTCGGCCCACTGATGATTCCCCTCTGACCATGCCCCCGTCTTAGGTGACACAGGTGCTGTCCCAGGCCTTCCCGGACCAGGAGGACTCGGTGCGGGTCTCCCTGAGGGAGAAGTACAGCTCTCTGCTGCAGAGGCTTGGTAGGTCACACCCTTTTCCAGTGGCCTGTGACCTTTAGCCTTCCTGTGCCCTGCCATTTGTAGTCCGTCTTTACCCTTATTATGAGCATATATGGCTATGAGCAATCGCTTCAAAAGCGATCATCGCTTTCCCTTCTGCGCGTTGCAGTTGGGCATGTCGCTCCCCATCTACATGAACCCCACACTTCCCCTGCCCCCTTTCTAGGAGAGAACCAGGCGATGGCCTCTCTGATCGAGGATCAGTTGAAGAAGAGCCGACGGGATCGCAGTCGTGTAGCTAAGTACCTTGGCCCCCCGCAGCGCCACCTGTGGGAGAGGGAGGAGGAGACAGGAGACTCCCAGGGGGCCAGCCTGAGCTGCAGTACACTGACGGACTGCGGGGACACGGCCGATACCGGCTCGGAGACCGCGTCACTTCCGCGTGGAGTGAGCCAGCTTCGGTAAGGGCTTGGTTTGGCAGAGAGCTGCTTTTCACAGGGCTATGCTACGCGACTTGATGCTGGCTTTTCTTTCTGGTCAGGAGTGGTGCCGGACGGACCGGGGGCAGGGAGGATCCCGGCCTGCTGGAGCAGGAGAGGGAGCCCCGGGCAGGCACACCAGGCAGGGCGCGCCTGCCTCCCGTCGGGACCTGGGTGTTCGAGTTGGATGACGATGAGTACCTGAGTTTCCTTGAGCTTTTCCTGAGCTACGTGCTAGAGAAGGATAGTGTAGGGGGTGCACACTTGGACCCCCCCCTCCTGAGTAGCTACACCCCCCAGCTGTGGGAGAGTGAATTGCACTCCCTGACGTTTGACATGATGACCACACTTCGGCGCCGCTGTGCTCGTGACAGAAAAGGGACTGCCGTGTTCCGGCCTGGTCGCTGCTATCGGCTTGCCTCGTCTGGCCTGGTCCAGGGCCACAGCCAGTCCCTGGCACCTGGTACCAGCGTGGCCGGCTCGGAGCCACTCTTCCCTGGTCTTGGGGCAGGAAAGTCCCAGGGCTTGTTTGGCCTCCACCGTCAGGCCAGGAATAGTTCTAAGTACAGCATCCAAGGGCCCCAGGTCAATTCTGAGGCCTCCCCCTGGCTGTTTGAGGTCCAGCCTGATGCTGATTTGGACCCTTGCGAAGACCCTGACCCCGGACTGGACGCCCAGTTCCCAAGTCTGAGCCGACTGCTAGAGTGGATGATGCGCTGGTCTGACAGGAAGGTCTCACATATCCATTCCTCCCACAAGAGGGCAGTTGCAGCCATCGGAGAGGCCGGGGTGGTGTTTATCAGGGCTAAGACATCTGCCCCAGCTGTCCTCAGTGCCCTGAAGCTCCTGACAAGCAGATACAGCGCCGCCCTGCTGGACATACACTTCCAGGTCCATGAGTCATCCTTCTCCTGCAGTGTTTAGGCTTTTAAATGAAGAAATGCTTTTTCGCAGCTGGCTCTGTGGTTTATTTTTCCTTGGTGGGCACTGCCCCTCTCTCTACCCCAGGTGCCACTAACGGAGGCAACAGTCACCCCAGTGCTGCTGCCAGAGAAGGATTGGTGCAGTGAGGACACAGAGTGCTGTGCCTCCTCTGGGAGCCCCCCTACGCCTTCTGCCCCAGATCCTCCGCGAGGGCGCCCCTTTGGGTGAGCAGGGCATGGTCAGCATGCAGGAGGACAGTAAATGCAGGATTGTGTGTGTGGCAGATTTTCTCTCTGGGTGGGACTGCGGGGGTGAATCTGTGTTCTGCTCTGCAGCATGTCTCTGATGGAGGCGGCGGGGCCTGGGGCGGGCTCTGAGGAACAGGACCCTTCATGCCAGTACCGTGAGGACAGCGTGACCTCTGACCTTAGCACGGCCGAGGAAGGTGAGGAGCACAGGAGGATCGGGTGAAAATTGACGGTTATTTCCTTAGTGTGTGCTGTAGTGGGTGCTATAATCAGCTGGCTCTTTAATGGCTCAGATGACAGGAGTACGGAGGAGCCCTCTGAGTTGCTGGAGTCCCTCACTCGACCTGACATCTCTGTCCAGATCAGGACTGTCCCCAGGACGCCATCCCCCAAAGATCAGGTGGGTGTGGTTAGAAAGCGGTGCTATGGTAAGAGACCAGGACGCGAGGCTGCTCTGCGGGGACTGGTACGCAGTCTATCACCTGTGTTTCAGTCAAGTGACCGCTGTGGAAGATTCTGCCTAGGGCTGGGCGATATCATATCGATATTACATAGCGCATGAGTGATCACCAGGGCTTCAGATGACAGGCGAAACATTTGGCTGGAGGCCAGCTTTTCAGTACCATTCGAGTGTTTATTTACACCAACAATTTAAGCAGATTAGTAGTACAGTTAAAATACTAATGAGGCATTTTATGACGCCCAAAAGTAATCGGTATAAATTCCTCCTTCTGCAAAACACCCAGTGCCTCACACCACATACTGTCTTATTTACCTGAACAGACACTGACGCTGGCT